ATGGGGGGAGCGGAAGCGGTTTCGGAGAGCTATGAGCAGGGCCTGGAGGCAGAGCCCCCCCCCCCCCCCCCCTCCCATTTCCTTTCCTTCTTCAGCCCTTTTGTCCTCAGTGGCTTGGTCTTTTTTTCCTTTGAATCAAGGCTGTCCCAGACTTAGCATCTCCTATCCTGTTGCCAAGGTGACCAGACCATCCCTGCCACCCCATAGCCACGGCCAGTGTAGGGTGAGGGACAGAGTCCTGGAACGGGCGAGTGAGCATCCATTCCTGTGTACACACAAGTACAAGAACAGACACGCAGAGACGCCCAGGTGTGCAGCCCTGCACGAAGGTGGGCACAACTGCGCCATCTGAGGAAGGACACAGGCCCATGTGGGTCCTCATGCACCCACCTGTGTATACCTGAGGAGCTCACTGGTCTGCCCAGCACTCCTGTTGGCACCACAGGGTCTGCAGTGCCTTCTCTGGCCCCTGGGGCCTCTGGGAGTGCACCCGTGCCGGCCCTGCAGTCCTGGTTGGCTGGCAGCATCCCAACACCAGGCCAGACCCCTGCAGCCCCCACTGCCCTTAGAGCCTTGCACGGTCCCTCTAAGGGGCTTCTGTGCCCCTCGTGGGATAACTCTGAGGCATGTCTTACACCCAGGGGCTGGAGCCAGGAGCCCGTGGTAGTGACCTGCCCATCAATGCAGCCATTATTGGCTGCTGCCTCGCCCCCGTCTCAAGTCCCCGGTCCCCTCCCAGGGCTTCCTGGGATCACCTCCCAGGTAAACTGCTGGATCTCAAATCCAGAGTCAAGGGCTGTTTCTGGGGAAGGGCACGCACCTGTGTCCCAGGCCTGGTATCTGTGCGCATGTGGACACGTGGCCATGGGGCCAGAGCAGGAGCACACATGTGCACAGTGCATGGCAGTGTGTGTTGCAGCCTGTCTGGACACTGTGCGTGCACTAACACCATCAGTCCCCAGCAGCCACGCCAGGGAGGCGAGATGATCAGGTCCATTTCACGGATGTGGAAACTGAGGCAAGGGTTAACCCTATAAAAGTGTGCATGGGGGGGTGAAGGTAGGGCACACAGGGGACTGGACCAATCATAGGAAAAAATCCAGGCCCCCACTCCTCCCACACCCCTCCCCCGCAGATATGAGGATGGAGGTGGGAAGTAGCCTCATTAATTTTCTGTTTTTGAGACAGAGTCTCAAGCGTCATCACAGCTCACTGCAACCTCCAACTCCTGGGCTCAAACGATCCTCCTGCCTCAGCCTCCCGAGTAGCTGGGGCTACAGGTCTCACCACCACGCCTGGCTGATTTTTTATTTTTTGTGGAAACAGGGTCTTGCTGTTGTCCAGGCTGGCTAAGTCACCCTCAGACCCTGCAGGGCGTAGCTGGTGTTCCCCACGCCCAGTTTCTAGCCACGTACCCCAGAGGCTGGGTGCACATGCCCGCTCAGGGCACCAGGCCGAGGTGCTGGCTGACCACGTGGCCACGGGCCGCCAGATTCCCTTGCTGAGCCTCTGTCTTGCGCGTGCAGCAGGCGCAGCCGAGGCAGTGTGCCGGACGGCTGTTGAGAGGCGCGCAGAGTGGATACGAGGTAGCAGCTCCTTCCTTCCCGCTCCAGGCAGGAGAAAGCTTTTCTGGGGTCTCTCCGTGGTTGTCCCACCTCCTCTCTGAGCACACACGTGCTGGTCACACCCCTGCTACAGGACAAATGCCCCAAATTTATCTTATCCTCCTAAGACCAGGCTCAGAGAGGGGCCACAGCTCAAGGTTACACAGACGCCAGGCCCCGGACTCTCCAGCCTGAGCCCCGGCAGCACCTACCTCCCCATGTCAACAATTAGCTACCACCCAAGGGATGGGGGAGAGGCAGGTGGGAGCCAGGTAGTCAGGGAAGGCTTCCTGCAGGAGGTGGTCCAAGCCAGGGCTGGAGAGGCTGTGCTTTGTCCTAGAGACATAAGGTCCATGTGCGTGATCAAGTGCTGGGTCTCTGTTCCTACAGCCCTGGAAGCCCTGAATTCCCGCCCTGGCTCGGGTGCACACCTGCTGTGTGGTCCTGGGCAGGGTGCTCACCCGCTCTGAGCCCCAGTCTCCTGCCTCTGTCAAAAGGAAGGACAGTGTGAATGGAAGTGTCGTGCGCCACACTGCTGGTGTTCCTGACACACTGTGCACATCCCCGTCTACTGGGGTAGGAAGGGCGTGCGTGTTGGTAAGAGGTTGGTGCGAGGCGGTGTGGGGTCAGAATGTCCTTGTTGGGGACCTGGTCGCCACCCTCTAGCCATGGGGCACCTCGGTGTCCTCACTGCGACCGTGCCATAGATGAGGGAAATGCCGGGAAGGCAGATGCTGTTCCTGCCCTTCCCTGTGCATGGAAGTGCTTCCTCAGGTCTCTGTCCTTGGGGACCCTGGGAGTACGCGGTGGGCCGCCGTTGGAGGCAGCCTGGAGTGGGGAGCAGGTGCCCTAGCCTCCTGCTGTCACAGACCTCGCCTTCCCCCAGCCCCTCTGCCACCGGGAGCCTCCCCCAGCCCTGCTTCCCGCCCCAGCCCGGCTCGCCTGGGCGGTCCGGAGCCGTCCCTCTCTCCCGCAACGTCTCCCTCCCTCCCTCCCTCTGCCGGGGACAAGGAGCAAGGCTTGCTGGCCTCTGCGTGGAGTCGGGGCTCCGAAGAGACTTGTCTGCAGCACGGACAGACGGACGATGGATGAGGCCCAGTCTGCTGTGGTCCCTGCTCAGCTTCCTTCCTCTGAACCGGCATGCCGAGCTGGTACTGTGCCGGGGACACCTTTGACATCCACGTTCTCAGAATAACATGTTTGAATGCACAAGAGAACCCACATGGGCTACAAAGGAAACCAGGAGTGTTGAAATACTTATCAAAAGAGCATTTTAAAATGTGTGATGCAGCAGTTCACATGCTGCTGCCTTGTGAGTGCCTTAACTGTCCCCACGGAGAAGCTCTGGGCGGGGCGGGGTCTGCGTCCTGGGAGGCGGGGGCCCACTCTGCGTGCCCACGCTGGGCGTGTGTCGCCACTCGTCCCGCAGAGGCGCTGGGGGAGGGCAGAGCCCGGCTCCATCCCTGGGCCCCAGCAGGAACTTCTGGATGGTGCTCCATGTGGCAGGGGCCGCAGAGCCTGCTTCTGCCCTGCGGGGCCTGGGCACCAGGCCTGCTTGCAGTTAGGATCCCAGCCAGGGGGGGGAAAGGGTCAGGGGTCACCTGCGCCCCCAGCCCCCACCTGGCTGGAGTGAGTGTCTCTGTGGGGTCCTCCCCATCTCCCCCAGGCTTGGCTTGGAGAAAGCTGACACTTCCTGCCTGTGGGCCCAGCCTGCTGCCATCTGCTGTGAGCGGTTCATAAGGGAGGCGGGTGGGAGGCCCCTGCCCCAGCCGCAGCCTTCTCACACAAGGTGAACAGGAACCTCGGTGGCCTCTCACTTGACAAATGGAAACTGAGGCCCTGCCTGCTGTCTTGTGATGCACACCTCAAGGGCTCTCTCAGGGCACGGGGACAGAGCCCTGGGTCCCCGTCTTCTCATCAGCCTCACCCAGGAACTGGCCCAGGGCCCCTGGGGGAGCCAGACCCAGCCCCCACCCGCAGGGGCCCTGGAGTGTCGGGGAGACTCGGGGAGGTAGGTCATCGCACCCCGTGGCTTGTCAGTGCGGCAAGCACAGGAGGTGGGGCTTGGTGGTGGGTGTTGCAGGACACAGGAATTCGAAGGAAGATGGGGAGAAGGGCCTTTGGGAAGGTGTCTGGCTGTGGCCGGGCCAGGCGTGGCCAGTGTGTCCTCTGACCGCCGTCTCTGGAGCAAGGGCCATCATCCACCGGGGGGTGAGAGGAGGAGGCCAGGCACTCCCATCTGTGCAGCTGAGTGTCTTCGGCCGCGTCCTCTGCCTCTCTGAGCTGTCAGCTTTTCCCGCCATCTGCTTGCTGTCTCTGCCCCGCCCCGCACCCCCTTCCCCCGCACCCTCGGCTCCAGCCCCACCGCCCTCTGTTCCCGGAACACGCAGAGCAACATCCCAGTCTCAAGGCCTTGGTCCTTGCAGTTCCCACTTCCAGAAGGCTCTTCCCACGCTCTCTCCTCGCCAGGGCTCGGATCCAGTGCTCGCCTCTGAGACACGGGCCCTGGCCCCAGAGCAGTCTGCACCTGTTTCTGGAAGCACTCGGATAGGGTCCTCAAACTTTAAACGGGGCCAGTTACTGTCCCTCAGACCGTTGGAGAGTGCGGCGCACATTCCACACGTGCGCACTGTGGGCCCGGGACGAGTCGGCTGCTAAGCAGGACAGGCAGCGGCAACAACACCCGGCAGCCGGATGAATGTCCTCGGCGGGCCGTAGTTTGAGGACCCCTGCACTCAGGTTTTTGCCTGTCTGCTGCCCCTGGAAGGCGCCCCAGCACAGCAGAGGCTCGGGGTGCTGCTGAGTGAGCAGGTAGCCCTGGGCCCTCGTGCCATAGCGGGCAGCAGAGTCAGGCAGGCCCGAGGCCTTCTTGGGCCTTGGCGGCCCTCAGATCTGCGAGGAGCAGTAGGGCCCTCGGGTGGGGTGAGGAGCCTCAGCAAGCCCACCCTGCCTTCCTGGACCCCATCTCTGAGCTCAGCCTCCTGCCCATGCCAGGGTGGACCCCAGAGCCCTCAGACATCTGTCAGGCCCTCCCAGGGGATTTTCTGAAATAAGGCCAGATTTACAAAATGGGGAAGGAAAACAAAGGAAGCCTTCCTGTGTGGCCTTGGGCAAGCCACATAACCTCTCTGAGCACCCGTTTTCTCACCTGTAAAATGGGACTAGTCATACCACTTATCTTATGGGGGTTTGCTGAGTTAATACCTGGAGATTGGCCAGCTGGGAACTTCCTGTTCCCCCAAGTCCCCTCATCCAGCTCTGAGCCCCCCCTCACCCTGGGGAGTCACAGGCCCCCTTCGGGCCTTGCTGGACCCATCCAGGTGGGAAGGGATGAACAGGTAGATGTGGTGGGGGCGGGGGTAGCCCGGGCAGCAAAGGCTTCTGTCTTCCTCACAGCTGTACGTTTTTCAAGCTTCAACTTAATTTGAGTCTCAGACATTTCCTGAGAAGTGTGCACAGGAGGGACACACAGCAGCCTGGGGCCAGAAAGACCACCAAAGAAAAGGCTGGCACACTTGCCAACATGAAATGTCTGCGATGTTGTTTATCAAAACCCAACACAAGTAAAATAAAAGGTAAATGATAGACATCTGTTATAAAAAGGATTGATGTGGCCAATATATAAAGAGTTCTTATAAACCAACAAAAAGGGACACAGTCGGAATGAACAGGGGCTAGGCGTGTGTTCCCAATGTGCCGGAAATGTCCACACCTCAGACCCTCCGTGTGAAATGCCTTCCTCTAGTTTCCAGAATTCGAGCCAGAGGGAAGCCTCCTCCATGAAGCCTCCCAAGATTTTCCTAGGCCCCCTCCTGCTTCTGAGTGCCCCCGAATGCTTCTTGGGCCCCTGCAACTGAGTGCTTGGCTTCTGCTCGTTTCATCAGGGAGTGTCCCAGGTGAGGAGACCCAAATTTCTTTGACAGAGGAGAAAATCAGGCACAGAGAGGAGCTGTGCCCAAGGTCCCCAGTCTGGGAGACACAGAGCTGGGCTTAGCACCGGGTGTCCTGCCTCTGCTCTTTGCTCCAGCACCAACTGCCCAGTGAGCTGGCCAGGCCCGCCTCGCTGCAGCCTGGGGCCAGGTCTGCATTTCTTCATAACGGGCTGGGCCAGCGTAAGGCCTGCTCAGGCGGGGGCCAGGATGAGGGCCGCAGGCCCCGTAACCCGATTGCCCTCTGCAGGGAATCATGCCACCTGGATGGGTCCAGCGAGGCCCGAAGGGGGCCTGTGGCTCCCCAGGGTGAGGGGGGCTCAGAGCTGCATGAGGGGACTTGGGGGGACAGGAAGTTCCCAGCTGGGCAATCTCCAGGTATTAACTCAGCAAACCCCCATAAGATAAGTGCTATGACTAGTCCCATTTTACAGGTGAGAAAACGGGTGCTCAGAGAGGTTATGTGGCTTGCCCAAGGCCACACAGGAAGGGCCATATTGTCTCAGAACTCTTAAACTTTCAAACCCTCTTACGGCCTTTGGGATCCCCACTGCCCTTGGGATCCAGTTTAAGTTCATTGGTGTGACAGCCAAGGCCTCGGTTTCTCCATCTGCCTGTGTAATGCCTTGGCCCCGTGCTGGCCCAGCGCTCATCACACGTCCACCGCCCTGTTGTTAGGGTGATGAGGGTGTGCCCCTCCCTTCCCCACACCCCAAATCACTTAGGGTCCAGGATGTGGGGGCTGGAAGGGCCCCTGTGGGGCCAGCCTCCCGGTTTTTGGACAGGGACGGGACACGCAGAGGCAGGGAGAGCCTTGCTGGAGGCCGCTGTGCCAGGAGCAGAGACCTGCACCCGACAGGCTGACTGAGTGTCCCTCACCGTGCCCCAGGCACCGCGGCTCCGGCTTTTCACGCACATGGCCCCAGGCAGGCTGTCTGCACCTGCTCGCTCTCCCGCCAGCTTGATGGACGCCCCTCTCCCCTCCACTGTGTGGGCACCTCCCCTGGGCCCCTGGGACACTGGTGGCTTTGGTCCTGCGTGCTGCAACTGCTGACTCCCCCCTGTCCCCGGCAAGGCAGGGTGCCCCACACAGCCAGGTGCCTGCTGCTCCCTCTTCAGGTCCTTGGTGCCCAATGTGGAGCCTGGCATTGAGTGGGCCCTCAGGAAAGGTGGGCTGCAGGGGGCCAGAGAAGGACACCTGGCCCAGGTCACACAGCAAGTGGGAGTAGAACCAGAAGTCCCATGAAGCCTTCAAGACTCTGAAGGCCCCTTGCTCCTGGGACTCAGACGAGCCTAGGGATGGGGCAGTGTCTGCAGCAGCCACCAAGGGGCTCCTGCTCCCGGGACCTCGGGCCAAGGACACCCTGTCCTTCCCCGCCCCCCCCCCCTGCAAAGGATGTTCTCAAGATAAAAATATCACCGGAAACATTCCCCGGTGTTTGGTGTGACTGTCGTCCACCCTGAAGGGCCAGAAGCTCCTGGCCTGGCCTGGCCTCGCCTTGGGGCTCACAGGGTGGACATGTAACCCCTCTGGCCACTTGGTGCAGACTGTCCCAGGGTCAGTGCTTCCAGCCACCGCTTTCTGAGCACACCCTCCGGGCCTGGCATGCCCTGGGCATAGAGGAGCAAGGCAGCGAAGCCCTGCCTGGGGCTCGTGCTTCCCCTGGGCCATGGCCTGCCAGGGCAGTTTCTGAGGACCCCACCAGGCCACGAGGCTGGCCCAGGCACTGCTCTCAGCTGCCCACATGGGTTTCGGAGCCTAGAAGCCTCTCGTGGAGGACGCTGGGGAGGATGCATCACTGTGTGGCCTCTGCCAACGCCAGGGACAGGACCTAGTTTACCTTCATGACTGTCTCCTGGGGTGTGTGTGGCTCCCCATTTTGCAGATGGGGTGTCTGAGGCCAAGGGAAGGGCCCCCAGTGAGCTACAGGGTGGCCAGGCCCCTCTAGGGAGTGCTGACATTGAGGATGTCAGCTGCCACCTCCCTGGATCCCTGTTGGGGCCAGGCCCTGTGCCTTGCCCACACCCCCCGCCACCGCACTCGGTCTCAGCACGTGCTCTGGGAGGCCAGGGGGGCCTCAGAAACCTTGTTTTTCAGAGGAAGCTGAGCCTTGGGAAGGGGCAGTGACTTGCCCTGTCCAGTGGGCAGTCTCAGCCCCAGCCTTGTCCAACAGGTTTGGCACCAGGGAAGTGTAGGGGTTGGCCCGGGCCCTTCCCACCCTTACTGGAGGCTGTGGTTCAGCCCATGCTGCTGGGGCCCTCTGTCACATGGAAGCATGCCCCCACCCACCCTGCCACCCTGTCCAGGACTGTGACCACCACCTGGGAATCGACTGGGGGACTTGGAAGGGGTGAGTCCACTCTGCAGGCTGCTGTGGACACTGCTGGTGGCAGGAGGAGCATGGGCAGGGTGTCCAGAAACCTGGGCTCTGACCTCCTGGCTGCCACCCACTGGCTCCAGGACCTTGGGCAAGTCTGCTCTGAGTCTCAGTTTCCCCTGTGTGCAGTGGAGCTGATTTTGCATCCCTCATAGGTGAGAATTAACCCAGCTGGACCTGCGGGTCTGAGGGAAGCCCTCCAGGAAACAGGTGGTAAGGGCAGAGGTTGGGAGAGCCTGGGCAGGCCGGGCTAGGTGACCTACAGACAGTGGGAGGGGCCGATGGCCTTACCTCTGCCCGCCCCTCCTGGCTCTGCAGAGCCCTGTGGCAACATCCCATCTCGTGTGCCCGAGCTCGGCCCCAGGCGAGCAGGGCTGTGAGGGCAGGCCCGGGCTCCCGTCTCGGCTGTGGAGACTCCCAGCTGCATGGCAGTTTGTGGGGCTTCCTGAGCTGCTGCTCACACTCCGTTCTGAGAGTGAAAGACCGAGAGGGGCAGAGCGCTGGCCCAGGCAGCTGCTCAGGGAACAGTGCAGTGGGCTGGGCACTGGGGTGGAGGGTGAAGAGGGCCTGGAGGGCCACTGGAGAACACACGGGATCCCCCTACAGAGTAAGTTCAGAGAGGGGAAGTGACTCATGCAAGGCCACACAGCTTGTGAGAGGCAGAGCTAGGACTTGAACCCAGGTCTGTGTGTCTCTAAACCACTGTCGCCTGCCCTGGCAGGCTTATGATGTGGGATTGACTCACCAAGTTTCCGTAGTCCTAGCCAGAAAAGCCAGTGTGGAAAACCTGCCTTGGCCTGTAACCTTGCGAAGGGCGGGGCCCGGTGCACTCGGGCTGGGCGGGGGGAGGGCGACAAGCATCTCAAGCAGCTCACCTCTGGAGGGTCTCAGAGCCCCTTCCCACCGTCCTCTCTCCTGATCTTCATAGCACACTGGAGAGGATGGTAGGGGGCCTCTTTGACAGATGGGAAAATTGAATCTTGAGGATCACAGGGTCATTGGTGGGATGTATGTGCACCCAAGGCAAATCTCTGGCAGATTACTAGTGTGTACCCATCCATATAGTGAGCCATGTGCATACCCACTCATCTGTCGAGTCATCTGTCCCATTCACCCAAACACTCCATCCATCCATCCACCCACTCATCATCCACCCATCCATCCCTCTTTCCCTCAAGCCATTCATCCACTCATTCGCTCATCCCTCCTTCCATCCTTCATCTATTCATCTACCTTCATACCCATTCGCCCATCCATCCTTACATCCATTCATCCATCCTTACATCCACTCATTCACCCACTCATCCCTCACCCACCCGTCCACCCACCCACTTATCCATCCACCCATTCATCCATCCATCCTTCCACTCATCCATCCATCCGTCCACCCATCCATCCATCCACACATCCATCTATCCATCCATCCATCCATCCACCCATCCATCCATCCATCCATCCACCCATCCATCTATCCATCCATTCATCCACCCATCCATCCATCCATCCATCCATCCACCCATCCATCTATCCATCCACCCACTCATCCACCCATGCATCCACCCACTCATCCATCCCCCTACCCAACCACCTGTCCATCCACCCAGCTGTCCACAGCTGGCTCCAGGGTTGGCATTGGGAAGGCTTTGTAGGTGGTGGCTAAGAGCATAGGCTGAGGGCCTGGGTTCTTTTTTGACCCTAGGAGAATTGCCACCTTATCTATCTCTCTGAAATGGGTCTAATAAAAGCTCTAACCTTGTGGTTGTGTGAGGATTACATGGGATGACATACATAAAACACCTATGATAGTGTCTGGCATGCAACAGGCACTTGACAATTGTCAGCTGTTATTTTCTCTGAAGACCCATCCTGTTCTACCCATTCATCCATCCACCCATCACTGGATGTTTGTTCTGGACAGGGCTCGGAGGCTACAAAGATGTGGGGCATCAGAGGTGCAGGCTGGAGGCTCCTCCACCTCCCATGGGCCAGGAGAAGTAAGCAGAAATGAGGGTTCATATGGAAATGTCTTACTTGTGAGCCCCTCTGAGAAGAGCAGCACCGTCTGCAGTAACGTGGTTTTGCTCTGTTAACTTTAGGATGCTCTAGTGTCTGGATCCTCCCCAGCTGGTGCCTGGGAAATGGCAGCGACTGCTAATTCAGCCTGGAAGACTGTCACTTGCCCACTCAGCACCATCACTTAGAAGATAGAATTCAAGAGGTAAGATTAAAGTCACTGATGTGCACCTGTGCATCTAATCATCTATTCCACCAAACACTCATCTGCACACCACCCATCCACCCACCCCAGCATCCACCCATCCACCTATGTCCACCGCCCATCCCATCCACTCATTAGATGTTCCCTCCACCCATTCATCTGCTCAGCCATCCATCCACCTGCCCTCCACCCACCTAACCCATCCATCTATCTGGTCACCCCCATCCACCCACCCACCCATCTCCCAGCCTGATTTATCCATCCATCTGCTTGACCACCCACCTGTGCACATATCTGTCTGCTCATCCATTATTCCATCCATCCTCTGCTCAGCTGCCTAGTCTTTCATCCTTTTGTCTGGCCAGGGAGCATTTCCTGGGGTCTCCTTTTTGTCAGGGCGAACTCCAGACTCTCTGGGCCTCTGAGGTTAGTCAGAGATGGGGCCTGGACAAGATCAACTCCAATATAGGTTAGAAGGTAGATTTTGGCCCTAGCAGGGGAAGCCCAGGGCTGGAGACTCGTAAAAGGCCCCGTGGAAGAGGAGCAGCAGGAGGAGCGGAAAGGGGCGTCGTGCCGCGGGGCCTCCAGGAGGGCAGGCTGGGGTCCGGGCCTTGGCCCTGGGAGGAGGACCCAGGGGAGAAAGGTTCCAATACAAGTCTTAGTGGGAGGTGATCCCCAAAGTGAGGAGGTGGGACAAAGAGGAGAGGGAGCCCACAGGGGCGGGTGGTTGGGACGGCTACTGCTGGGGTAGCTGAGCCCGGCCTTGCTGGGAGGTGGCGCGGAACCCGCCTTCAGTGTCATCCATCCCAGGGGCAGTTTCCCGGGTGTTTACCCACCTGCTCCTGTCTGTCACTGACTGAGGGCTGCTCTGGTGGCACCAGCTCCCCAGCCTGCCCTCCACAAGGGCAGGGCAGGCTCCAGTGGCCAGAGAGAGCTTTGGGGCAGAAGACACTGGTGTTGGCCGTGGGAATTGGGGCTGGCAGTGAGGGCCGGGGTACAAGTGGGCACTGACCACCCGTCCCCCACACACACCAGCGTGTCACTGAGCCCCAACTTGGCACCCAGGTCCTGCCCTGCAGGCTGTGGGCGAGGCAGGGGCTGTCTGAACCCATGCTGGGCAGTCTGGCCTGGAAAGGTGGTCGGGCAGGAGAGGCAGTGAGAAACAGGGCTGCTGCCCCTCCCTCTGCCTCTCCCCGCCGCACGGCACCTGGCCCCGCTGGCCTGGCTGCTGCCCCTTGCAGCTCCGGGGTGCCCAGCACCTCCTCGCCTTTGGCTCCTGGCCCTGGCCGGCCGGCCGGAACGCCCTCTCGACACCCCGAGTGCCGGTCTCACAGGGGCGGCAGGGCCTGGCACGAGAGACACGCTGCAGTGCAGCCTGGCCCGCCTCGAGGCCTCGGTCTCCCGACCCGCACGGCGAGGACTGGTTGCCCGGGCCCTCCGCGAAGCCCGACGGACGGCGACTGTCAGGAAAGACGCCGAGGCCGCGCCCACGCAGACCGGCGGTGCTGTCTGCTGTGGCGCACGCGCGCCGGCCCCTGGCACTCTCGCTGCCGAGGGTCTGTGAAGTGCGGCTGTGGCAAGGCAGCGAGCGCCCCTCCCTGCACGTTCCACCAAGGGCGAGCGGCCCAGGTCAGGGTGCTGGCGAGGGCCCTCACACCTGCGCCGCGGAGCCCGGCCGTGGAGTGCCGCGGGCAGTCTGCAGGTCTCGGCAGCAAACGGGGTCGCGGGGCGGAGCCTGAGAGGAGCACGGGGTGGAGGGGCACTGGTTGTGCCGCCGCCTCCAGGCTGGAAGCTCCACTTCTTAAAGGCTGTGTGACCCTTGGCAAGTGACGCAGTCTTTCTGAGCTTCGGTTTGCTCATCGGGAAAGTGGGGATAATAGTCACAGTGTTGTCGGAGGGATTAAGTGAATCACTTCGCAGAGCTCTTGGAGCAGCACCTGGCAGGTAATAAGTGCTCTGTAGGCGTCGGTTGCTGTGCTTGGGCCTCGGAGGCATCCCCGCCGTCGGACGGGCCCTGGGGTGGGGGCTGCCCGCCCCTGGTCCTGGTCTCCCCCAGGCACTGTGGGCCCCTCCACTGTCCCTTCTGGTCAGCACTTTCTTGACATCTGGGAATGCTGTCCCAGGCCTTGCCCTGGTCACCTCCGGATGTCACCGAAACCTGAGGAGCCCAGAGCCTCGGGGGAATGGGCATGAGGCATCCTGCTCCATCCGGAGGCACCTCCCGGTGACTCCTGGGCCCCACCCTCGGTCACGTGGCAGCCGTCACCTGTCGGTCTCCTCTCTATAAGCTGCCGGCCCAGGCCCAGCCAGTGCCCAGGCAGTCCGACTGCGCGGCGCAGCATCTCCAGGCTGTGCCAGCAGGGAACCACCGCACTCCCAAGGTCTGGGTCTGGCTTCGCCGTCCCCGGTCTCCTGCCATCCCCGGGGTCTGCTGGGCCTGCGCTCCCTGGGGCTCCAGTCTTGAACCGTCTGGCTCAGGTAGTTGCCCCAGCGCCTCTGTCCTGCTCCCCTCCCAGACACCCTGGGACCCCACTGGCCAAGCAGGGCTCTGCAGAGGACTCTTTTGACTATAGCCTTGGGCTACGTGACCTAGGACAATTCTCTTTCTCTTCCTGCCTCAGTTCTCCCATCTGTAAAACAGGGAGCTGGAGTCTTATCTGATCTCACCTGCGCACCCTGTTGAGCAAGAGCCAGCCTGGCCTGCGTGTCCCCAGTTGAAGGTGTTGGCTTATATTTCTTTTATTTTTGAGACAAAGTGTCACTCTGTTGCCCAGGCTAGAGTGCCGTGGCGTCAGCCTAGCTCACAGCAACCTCAAATTCCTGGGCTCAAAGTGATCCTCCTGCCTCAGCCTCCCAAGTAGCTGGAACTACAGGCATGTGCCACCATGCCCAGCTAATTTTTTTCTATATATATTTTTAGTTTGCCAATTAATTTCTTTCTATTTTTAGTAGAGACGGGGTCTCGCTCTTACTCAGGCTGGTTTTGAACTCCTGACCTTGAGCAATCCTCCTGCCTCGGCCTCCCAGAGTGCTAGGATTACAGGCGTGAGCCACCACGCCTGGCCTGGCATTTATATTTCTTAAATTGCATCCTTGTGAAACCTCGCCACACCTGTGTTTGCACAGGAGTGTTCTTGGAACACTGAGTTGTGGTGCTGCACTTTCTACCCCTGTGTCCTCTTTGGGGTCTTTCTTTGTGGTGCAGTGTTCACCAAGTGCCCAGTGAGGGTTCCCATTCCCCTCGTGCTTGGGGTCTCTCTCACAGAGGGATGGGGGCGTGGAAGGCTAGGCACCAAAACCCCGGGCTCCAACTCTGTCTCTGCTACTCAGTTTTTGGGGGACTTTGCACAAGTGACTTTGATCCGAGTCAGTTTCTGGCTCTGAGAAATGGGGGAGCGGGGTATGAACTTGACCTTATTGACTTTCTCTGTGGTTCTAGAAGGAATGTCAACAGAAACGAGGGTTCCCAGGCCTGCATGACACCGTCTGGGTGGGACCCAGGTGCCCAGCCCTGGCGGAGATGCCAGGAGCCACCGCAGCACCCTCACCTGCCTGGTGCCGGGCCAGGTGTGTGCTGCCAGCTGCCGGGCGCACGTGCAGGCTGCTGTCTCTGGCCTTTGATTCCTGTGATTCTGTTCCCTGCAGGCCTCAAGCTGCTCGGAGCACGGGCTGGAGCAGCCATGACCCGTTGGACGTCCCTCAAGGCCCCAGGGCCACACAAACCCGCCCCCTGGGATCTGGTGTCCTCCCGCCGGCGTCTGAGTGCCCCAGCCTTGGCTGCCTCCTGCCGGAGGGCCTGGGACTCTGGGGCTGAGCCGTCTTCCCAGCTCAGTCCTGGGCGCCCCGCCCAGCTCCCTGCCTCCTGGCCCAGGCGGAAGCGGCGTCCTGCATTACAGCCTCAGGCCTCAGCCCCTCAGACCCATGGTGAGGTGGTCACCTGGAGCAGCCCTGGGGGAGGACAGCGGCTGGGGCCTGTGGAGGGAAACCTTGCATTGGGCAGAAATGGTTTGGATGTCGCTCTCCTGCTGGTGGCTGTTTGGCTTGGAGGGTCCCTTCTTCCGTTCAGAGAGTAGATGTCATGACAGTAGCCACTTCGGTTGTTGAGAGGATGACCGGAGAGCACTGCTGCTGTGTCTGGCCCCCGGGGGTGCCCAGGACCTTGCCTGTTCTCCCTGTAGTCCTCTCAGGCAACGGTTGCTGTGAGTGCCTCGTCCTGCCAGGCTCTGAGGCTCTGCAGCACCCGTGGCTGACAGCGACCCTGGGGGTGCACCAGTCTGGCTGGTCCCTCAGGCTCCACTCTCACTTGTCTCCCAGGTGGTTGGAGCACAGGTCAGAAGTTGTGCCTTCTCCGAGGCCCTGGCTAGTGTGGACAGACCTGGGCTGAATCCCGGCATGCCGCCCCTGCCTGTGGAACTCGGGCAAGTCACTGCCCGTTTGTGAGCCTCCACATCCTTGTCTGTAAAGTGGGTGGCCCCCTCACCCCTCCCTGGAGAGCCCTAGGGTCTGCAGGTGGCTCTGCACCTCACAGGGCCCACAGTGCGTGCCCGGCCACCCTGTGACCTTCTCCTGGGGCCTCAGTGTCTTCCAGGCAAAGTGGCTGCAGGCACTCGAGGGCCCAAGGCTTCGGCTGGCTCCGACCTAATGGTGCGACCGGTGGGGACTGGGGGTGTGAGGGGTCCCCATAGGTGGAGAGGGGCTCGTCCAGCTGCTCAGCGTCCTGCCCACCCTGGCAAGTCCCAGGTCTGCCCCCTTCCAGCTCAGCCCAGCCCAGCCGAGGCAGGCTGGGGTCCAGATGGAGTCAGTGGCCACAGGGCTAGGCTCAGATGCCCCAGCCTGGCTCCGACAGGCGGGGTGGGGCCTGTGGGGCCGGGGAGGGACGGCTGTGGCCTGTGTGTCCCACTGAGAGTGGGCTTTGTTCCGGCTGCCGCGGGCCTGTGCGGGCGGCGTGGCGTGTGCCAGTGTGTGCAGCAGGCTGGGCCTGGCCAGGTGCTCTGCACAGCGGGCCGGCGGCGGTGATGGGAATAGGTGGCACTTTTGTGTGCTCCCCACGTGCCAGGATGGTGGCCCTGCCGTCCTGGTTTACGGATGAGGAAAGCAGGGCCCAGGAGGAGGGCTGGGCGGGTGGCCTGTGCTGCACACCGCTGGAGCCGGCGGCCACAGGTGTGGCGTGCGGGTGTCAGGAGACTGCATGGGGTATCCCCAGTGGGGGGGGGTGGCAGGCCCCCCGACTCCAGGTCCTGGGGTGGGACAGCAAGGAGCAAAACAGAAAGCTCCCTGCCCTCAGGGAGTGGCGGTCGCAGGTTCTCTTCCTCCTGTTGCCGGCACTGTTCTGTCCGGGGCGGCGCTGGGCGCTCGTCAGGGCGGGGACCGGTGTGCAGCCCTCCTGTGGCACAGGAAGGCCTCCCGAGATGGCCAGGGCCTGAAGGCGGCCATGCAGCAGGAGGACATCTGGGAGGAGAGCGTCCAGGGTGGGTTTGAGGGACGTCTAGGGACACGGGCTGTACAGGGTGAGCGGGAGAGGTTGGGAGGCAAAGTCCTGTGCAGTCCTTATGTCCCCGGGGGCACTCTGGCTTTGAGCAGAGGAGGGACAGGTCTGACTCAAATTCCACGGGCCCTCCATGGCTGCCGTGGGGACTGGGGCCCGGGGGTGGGCTGTCGGGGTGGCTTGAGCCCTGGTCCAGGTAGGCAGTGATAAGGATTCAGGCCGTGAGGGTGGGAGAAGGGGTCAGATCCTAAATATATTCTGAAAGCAGAGCCCTGGGTGGGAGTGAGAGGCGTTCAGATGGATCCAAGGATCTTGGCTGGCGCTGCTGGGAGGGTCGCGAGATTGTTCTCCACACCGAGAACGTGGTGTGGGCCTGAGTGAGGTGGCCAGACTAGAGCTCACTTGTGGGTAGGTTGGGGTGGAATTGTTTCTGGTCGGGTCTGGGTGCCAGGGTGGGGGTGGAGGAGTGTTGGGACCACTGTCCTCTGTGTGGTTGCAGACCCGCTGTCCTCTGTGTGGTTGCAGACCCGCTGTCCTCTGTGTGGTTGCAGACCCCTTGTCCCCTGTGTGGTTGCAGACCCTCTGTCCTCTCTGTGGTTGCAGACCCGCTGTCCTCTCTGGGGTTGCAGACGCGCTGTCCCCTGTGTGGTTGCAGACCCGCTGTCCTCTGTGTGGTTGCAGACCCGCTGTCCCCTGTGTGGTTGCAGACCCGCTGTCCCCTGTGTGGTTGCAGACCCTCTGTCCTCTCTGTGGTTGCAGACCCGCTGTCCTCTCTGGGGTTGCAGACCCGCTGTCCTCTCTGTGGTTGCAGACCCACTGTCCTCTGTGTGGTTGCAGACCCGCTGTCCTCTCTTTTTCAGGAGCCGCCCGGCCAGGAGCCAGCCTGGGGGCGAGCTGGGGCGCCCCCACCCCCGGGATGACTGCAGCCAGCCGGGCCAACCCCTACAGCATCGTGTCGTCAGAGGAGGACGGGCTGCGCCTGGTCACCATGTCGGGCGCCAACGGCTTCGGCAACGGCAAGGTGCACACGAGGCGCAGGGTCCGCAACCGCTTCGTCAAGAAGAACGGCCAGTGCAACATCGAGTTTGCCAACATGGACGAGAAGTCGCAGCGCTACCTGGCCGACATGTTCACCACCTGCGTGGACATCCGCTGGCGCTACATGCTGCTCATCTTCTCCCTGGCCTTCCTTGCCTCCTGGTTGCTGTTCGGCATCATCTTCTGGGTCATCGCCGTGGCGCATGGCGACCTGGAGCCGGCCGAGGGCCGGGGCCGCACGCCCTGCGTGATGCAGGTTCACGGCTTCATGGCGGCCTTCCTCTTCTCCATCGAGACGCAGACCACCATTGGCTACGGGCTGCGCTGCGTGACGGAGGAGTGCCCCGTGGCCGTCTTCATGGTGGTGGCGCAGTCCATCGTGGGCTGCATCATCGACTCCTTCATGATCGGCGCCATCATGGCCAAGATGGCGCGGCCCAAGAAGCGGGCGCAGACGCTGCTGTTCAGCCACAACGCCGTGGTGGCCCTGCGGGACGGCAAGCTCTGCCTCATGTGGCGCGTGGGCAACCTGCGCAAGAGCCACATCGTGGAGGCCCACGTGCGTGCGCAGCTCATCAAGCCCAGGGTCACGGAGGAGGGCGAGTACATCCCGCTGGACCAGATCGACATCGACGTGGGCTTCGACAAGGGGCTGGACCGCATCTTCCTGGTGTCGCCCATCACCATCCTGCACGAGATCGACGAGGCCAGCCCGCTGTTCGGCATCAGCCGGCAGGACCTGGAGACGGACGACTTCGAGATCGTGGTCATCCTGGAGGGCATGGTGGAGGCCACGGCCATGACCACCCAGGCCCGCAGCTCCTACCTGGCCAGCGAGATCCTGTGGGGCCACCGCTTCGAGCCCGTGCTCTTCGAGGAGAAGAGCCAGTACAAGATCGACTACTCGCACTTCCACAAGACCTACGAGGTGCCCTCCACGCCCCGCTGCAGCGCCAAGGACCTGGTCGAGAACAAGTTCCTGCTGCCCAGCGCCAACTCCTTCTGCTACGAGAATGAGCTGGCCTTCCTGAGCCGCGACGAGGAGGACGAGGCGGACAGAGACCAGGACAGCCGCAGCCGAGACCGGCTCAGCCCCCAGGCCAGGCATGACTTCGACAGACTGCAGGCGGGCGGCGGCGCCCTGGAGCAGCGGTCCTACAGGCGGGAGTCAGAGATCTGAGGCCGCTCAGGTGCAGCGTCCCCCCACCCCCGCCCAGGAGGGGCCAAGTTGCCCTCCGTGGGGGCCCCCAGGGTTTGAGCTGAACCGGGGGCCACGTGCCCCAGGTTGCAGACTCAGTAGCATTTTAGTTGCTTTATGTTTCTTCGCGGTGGCCTCGGAAGGTGGGCAGGAGAGTGGGCATCCAGAGCGGGTGGCCCCGGCTTCAGAGCCAGTGCAGGGAGGTGGCAGGGAGGTGGGAGCCAAGGGCTTCTGCCTGAAGACAGAGCTGCAGCTTGCCTGCAAGTGGCTGGGCGGTGGGCGCAGCCTCCGCCGTGGGAGGCTGCAGGCTTTTAACTTGGGGAGAAACACCGGGTTTCAGCTTTCTCAACCTTAGCTTGGGAAAGACTGTTTACAAAACAAAACAAAAAAAGTAACGTGATTGAAAAAAAATTTTTTTAATTCTTGGGGGGCAAAAATGACAATTAGAATTCCATGAGTCTGCTGGGATGCAGCAACTGGCTGGGAGCTCCAGAAGGTTCCCGAGGAGGAACTGGCCTCTCCCCTGGGTAGGGGCACAGCCCCTAGGGCAAGCTCGGTGCTCGAGGGCCTGCACTTCCAATGGGGGCAGACTCGGTTCTGTTTGTGACAGAGAATCCAAGACCATGTTAACGATCATAATAAAAGCTTTCTACTGTCACTAGGGTGGAGGGTGGGGGCTGGGAAGAAACTGGTTTGAGGTTTTTGAGTTTGACTTTGTACCTTAGAGGTGCGTCTCAGGGCCAGGTACGGGACCTGCTGTCGAGGGTTCACCCCCACCCTGATTCTCACATTTCGCTTCTCTCTCCATTCTGCCCGGGGCCTCCACCCCTGCCCCGTGGGGGGCAGCTGGGAACCACGGGAGTGGATGGCTCCTCGCACAGGGAAGTCAGGATCCCAGACTCAGAGCAGTGGGTCAGCCCTGTCCCCGCTGGGCCCACAGGTGAGTCGTGCCTTAGAGACTCCAGGTGTCCTGCTTGAGTTGTCCTGTTCTTTTTGGGCTCTCTCGTCTTTCCCCACCCCCACTGCTGAAGCCCCTGCCAGCCCCTCTGTCTGTCTTGGGAAGCCAGCAGCACGGGGGAGCCCCGGCCGCACACAGCCAGCCCTGGTCTGCTGCTGAGTGGCAGGGGAAAGATCTTAGGGAAGGACAGGGATGTCACGCCTCCCACCAACTGAGATGCTAGGGAGTGTCCCCTCATTCAAAGCTGAATTGAGAAACTGGCCATGGGACAAATAATTCCTTCCTGCTAAGACTTGAGGGCCTTTCCTGCACCCCTGCCCCCACAGTCCAAGCACTGTGGCTTCTTGTCAGGAAGAGGCTCGTGTCACTGGCTGTTGGCTCTGCCGGCCGTCCTGTTCTTGGCAGCTGGTGGGGCCAGGCCTCTGCTGAGGAAGCCCACTCTCCCTGCACTGGGCCCTTGCGAAGGCCGTGTCTCCTGCTCTAACACATAGACAGCTCAGAACCAAGAGGCAGCAAGGACTCTCTGGCCCAAGTGGGGAAACTGAGGCAGAGAACACAAGGGGACATACAAAGTCACAAAGTGCGTGGGTGGGGCAGGGTGACAGGGAGGGGCTTTGGCCTAGGGTGGGGCTCCTGCCTCTTCCCTCCTCCTCTTCCCCAGCCACAGCTGGAGGCCTCGCCCGAGGGTGGGGCCATGGGGGTCTAGACCCGGCTGCCAAGGCTGTCAGTGGGACGGCCCAGAGACACCCACACCCCATGCCCTGAGGAGGCCTGACTCCATACCGCTCCAGCCTCAGACCCCACTGGCACGTCACCTCTCAGGATCTGCCGGCAGGCTCGGCTCTTTCCCGCTCCGGGCCTGGCCCTTGCCAGAAGCCTGGCCGGCCCTCCCTGCCGCGGCTCTGGGCGCTGTGGTGGAGTGGGTGCATGAGCACTCGGTGCTCTTCCACCCCACCGACGGCCAGGCTCAGGGAGGGCGGCCCGGGCACTCGGTGCCAGAGTAGAGGCCCGAGCCCGCGCTGCCCTTGCGGGGCGGGCGGCCAGGCTCCTGCTCCTCCGTCCAGAGCAGGGCCCTGGCCTCAGGTCCCCAGGCCGCCCCAGCCCTCTCTGCGGCCTGGTGCGCTCGCCTCTCGGGCCCTGGCAGGAGCGCATCCCGACCCCTTTCATCACGCCAAAGGCAGGCAGATGCTGTGTTTTCAAACTCTTCTGCCCTCTTTCTTCCTTCCCCGGTATTTGATTATTTATTTATCTATCGCTCGTGCTAAAGACCAAAATAGTCTCCCTCTTTAGTGCACCTGAAGCGGGAGGGCAGGTGGGAAGAGCCAAGAGCAGGAAGACTTGACCCCGGGGAGGGTGCAGCCATGCAAGTGCTCGCCCTGGCCTGCCCGTGGTGGCGCGGTGTGCACGCGCAGCTCTCCACTGTGCGACTGCGTGGGAACGCAGATACGTGATGTGTGCGTGTGCAGGTAGTTGCGTGTCCGTCTACCCACAGGCGTGTCTGTGTTCGTGTGTTCTATGTGGGGGCTGGGCGCCCAGCCGTCAGGTTGGATGCTGGCTACAGACGCTGGCACGGTTGAGCCCAGCAGCTCCCAGCCTGTGCCCGATTGTGCGTGTCGGTGTGTGACTGGAGCTTGTGTCCCGGGGGGAGGCATCTGGAGGTGAGCACGTATGCCTGGGTCATGTGTAGGAGGCCGTGTGTGTGTCTGCGTGAACACATGTATGTGCATGTGTGTGCGTGTGGGGGGCCACGGTGGCGGACATCGTGTGCACCTTGGGCTCGCTGCTCCCAGCATGGTGGCCGCGCCCCGAGCTTCTGCTGGTGCTGTGCCCCGGGTCCCCGCCCGACGGAGGGTCCTGGGGGCGAGGAGCCTCTGTCGGGAGGCCCTGCACTGGGTGTCTGCCCTGCGTGAGTCACAGAATGTCAAATCTACTTTAAACGGTAAAACCGGAGAATTTTCATGTTATTTTCAATTCATAGCAGTATCTAAAGACTTAGGCGATGAGACTAGACCACATTAAATGCATTTTGATCTCTTTAAGGCCCACGGTGTTGAGATGTGTGTCTAAAGTCCTCTGCCCAACTGCGCTGCATGCTGCCAGGCCTGGGGCTTCCTTGCCCTGCACTGGGCGTCGGGGCTCCCCGGGTGGCGGTGGGGCTCCCCGGGGGGCGGTGGGGAGGTGGGGCTCCCTGGGGGGCGGCGGGGCTCCCCGGGGTGCAGTGGGGCGGCTGGGCTCCCTGGATGGCGGTGGGGCTCCCCAGGGGGCATCGGGGAGGTGGGGCTCCCCAGGGGGCGTCGGGGAGGTGGGGCTCCCTGTGGCGGCGGGGCTCCCCCAGCTGGGCGGGCAGTGGCAGCTGCGGAGCAGGCCACAGGCACCTATTCCCACAGTGGCGCCCCGAGGCGCTCACACTGCGCCTCGCTCTGGGCACGTGTGGGAGGCCTAGCCAGGGTCGGGGCTGAGGAAGAGTTTCAGAGCATGTCTGTGTTGTCTCCGCTGAGATGACACGTGACAAGATGGGCCTGGTGGGCTGGGGGACGCGCACGGCCTACTTTCGGGAACTGGACCTTCAGCTCTGCCGGGGCCAGACTCTGGTGTCCCTGTGGTCTTCTGCCAGAGGCCCTTGGGGAGCGAGTTCCTCCCCTTGCCCAGACGATTTCCACGAGTGGAGCTGCTCCACAGCTCCGTGTCGGCCGGGATGGAGACGTCCTTCGTTCTCCTGGACTTACGGTGAGGGCTCCAGACCGCCCTGGGCAAGGTGCCCTCCAGGCGTTTGCGGGAGTGGGTGTCCCGCTCCCAGCACTCCTCCGTGCGGGCAGGGCCCTAAAGCCTGCCGGGGTCTGGTGGGGCCTCCCCGACCCTGCGGCCCCCCAATACCAGAACCCGAGCCGACCAGGGCCAGAGTGCTGCAGCTTCCCCAGCCCCTCCAGGCCGCTCTCGCGGCACCGACTGAGGGTCACCGGCCTAGGCGTGAGGACCTGGCCCCTGGCCCCAGCTGGTGCCCAATAAATACTGCCTGCAGAGTCTCTGGGTCCCCTGTCCTGGCTGTGCTAATGTCCCAATGGGCCCTGGGTAAGACTCCAGTCTGCTAACTTGGTGGGGGACCTTGAGTGAATTCCTTGCCCCCTCCAGCCTCAGTCTCCCCGTCTCCAGAAAGGGGGTGTTCACGTGCTGGCCAGCGCACAGAGCTGTTGAGGAGAGGGAGGAGGCAGCGTCACTCAACGAGCGCACTGCCCGGCGAGTGCCCCACACTGCTCCTCCCCACTGGCCCGGTGCGCACAGAGGAGGTCGCCCACTCAAGGTCACCATGAGGGTCGCACAGCCCAGGCCTCACACCGGCCTGCGTGCACCGAGCCGGCCAGCTTCCCCTCTGCTCTCCTGCCTCCCCAGGGATGAAATGAGCCCAACTCAGAATCTGCTTTAAAACAGGTAGAACGGGGGGTGGGGGTGGTTGGTGATAAGTGTTTAGTGAGCACCTGTTAACCTGAAGTTGGGGGCCTGTAAGACGCCTCCCTTTATCCTGGGCTAGCCTCTGCCGGGCAGGCCCAGGAGGCCTTGCTAACCTGATTTAGAGGAAATTGGCTGAGGGCTGTTAAGGCAGTCACCCCAGCTGGGGTCTGAGCCAGGCCTCGGTACCATCCTGCAGCCTCCATATTCGGCCTGCTGACCTAGACACCTACGGACCCTGCTGGGCTCTGGGCCCCTTGGGGCCCCTCTGCCTGCCAGTGGCCAGGGCTAGGGCTAGAGTCTCAGCCAGTGGAGGGACAGCCCAGTCAGGGAGCCTGCCCTGGACTCATCCCAGTTGCTCCTCTGAAAATCAGCTTGCAGCAGAGGGGAGGACTCAGGAGGAATCACAAGCCGAGGTCAGACCGGCCCGTGTGCTACCCAGCAGCAGTGGGGGCCCCCAAGGACACCCCATCTCCACCCAGCACACGAGTGGTCTTCAGAAAACCAGAATCGGGCCTTGTAGCCCTGCCTGAAACCCTCCCTGGCTTCCTGCCACACTGAAAATAAAATCCCAACTGCTTCCCCTACAGCCAAAGTCCTGTACCACCCAGCCCGGCCTTGGGGTCGCGGATCCACCGCCAGGATTCACCGCACTGCGCGAGGATTCTTTTCACAATACCATGTTGCAAGGCATAAAGTAAAAGGAAGCATGTAGGGTTTCAAAGGAAACCCATTTTATTAAAGGCAGTTATCAAAACATGAACGAATGAATACATTCGTGCTGTGCTAACCCACTGACGGGCAAGGGCTGACGGCACCCCTGGGTGGCGAGCACTGGTCTCCTGGGGACGCCAGCCATGTGGCTGTGATGTGGCCTGGCTGCAGGCCTGGCTGCCCTGGTGGCCTCCATCCATAACCGAGGAAAACGCTAAACTTCTCGGGGAGGTTAGGTGCCGTGGAGGTGGGAATGCGCCTTGGCCAAGTGCACGGCCCCTGGGTTTCCCTCTGGACCCCGAGGGAATTCAGACCGCAGTGACCGGGCTGGGGTCATTTCCTGAAGCCTGTGCTGAACCTCAGGGGCGCAGCTTCCCGCCCATCCGCCGGGCCAGGTGCCAGAAGGGCCCCGGGGCCATGACTTCGCCCCTGAGCTCGTGTGGAGGCAGGGACAGTGAGGCGTGGCTTGTGTCCAGGGGACATTTATAGGGCTCTTCCTCCACATGTGGCCCCAAGTGAGAAGTGGGTGACAGAGAAGGAAGGCCATCGGAGGAGCTCTTGGTGGGGGTGACCCTGGCACTAGCCATGTCAGCCCTGCAGCCACCCGGAGGGTGCATCCCAGAACTCTGAAGGCCCACTCCCTCGGCAGGACCCTGGCTCCCCCTCCCTGACTCTGCCCCTGCAACCTCCAGCGAGCTGACTTCTCTGCGCCTCAATTTCTTCCTCATAAAATGGGGCTGATCACAAAGCAGCCCATGAGGATTGAGTGAGGGGCGGGCCACTGCCTGAGTAGCGCCTAGAACAGTGCCTGGTGCACGGAGGGGCTGCCTAAGCACAAGCCCCTCTGTCTCTGTCTCGTGGCCCTTACCCAGGGGACAAGCATCCTGGGGGGACAGACTTGGGCCAGAGTCCCTGGGCTCTAGGAGAGGAGGAGGGCCTGCAGGACTGGACCAGTTAGCGCCAGGAGCGGGATCCAGAATGGGAGGAGTGATAGTCCTGGCTGGGGTTGGGATCTGCTGACTCTGGCATGGGGGAGCAGGAGGGACCCATGCCATGTCCAGCTTCTCAGGATCACTCTGCTATGTAGGAGTTAGCATAGGAGGGCCAGCATGGGGTGGGAGGACCAGGGTAGGAGAGGCTTGGGCTGAGGTGACAGCATCTATGGACATTTTAAAATGCAAACAAAGCAGCTCTCTGGGAGGCCGAGGCGGGCGGATTGCTCAAGGTCAGGAGTTCAAAACCAGCCTGAGCAAGAGCGAGACCCCGTCTCTATTATAAATAGAAAGAAACGAATTGGCCAACTGATATATATATAAAATTAGCCGGGCATGGTGGCACATGCCTGTAGTCCCAGCTACTCGGGAGGCTGAGACAGAAGGATTGCTCGAGCCCAGGAGTTTGAGGTTGCTGTGAGCTAGGCTGACGCCACGGCACTCACTCTAGCCAGGGCAACAAAGCGAGACTCTGTCTCAAAAAAAAAAAAAATGCAAACAAAGCTACAGCCACTTTGGAGGTTGATTTATTAATTTCTATTTAATAAAGTTAAACATACCTTTACCAGACGATTCAGCCATTGCACAACTAGGTGCTACTTGAGAGAAACGAAGACTCGTGTTCATACAACTTACAAGTGGATGCTTATAGCAGCTTTATTAATAACCACCCAACCAGGAAGCAGGCTAGATGCCCCTCGCCCGCTGAGTGGGTAACCGGGATGTGGCCCGTCCCCACCTTGGAGCAGGACGGAGCGTGGAGAAGAGCAGGGACGGGAGCGCCTGGCACAGCATGCTGCATCCTGGAGGCATTAGGCCGAGTGAAAGCCGGACCCAAAGGTTGGGACTGGTATTCTGGAAAAAGCAAAACTATAGTGCTGGGGGTGTGAGGGCAGTTGCCAGGGGCTAGGTGTGGAGGGTGCTTGCCACACAGGGCAGGAAGGAGTTCGAGGGGTTGACAGAATGCTCTGTCTCATCGCGATGACAGTTACATGGGTAAGTGCGTTTTGTCAGTGCTCACAGTGTTGTTCACAGCAGAGGATAAATACAGGTGAATCATACTTTAATTTTTTTTAAAAAGGGGGGAACAAAAGAATTTGTTAACAAAGCTGGTGTGTGGAGCCATTAGTGTGTCTAGATTTCAAGGGGAAGAGAAGCTCTGAAAGCCGAGGGCAGGAGTGAAAGTCCCCAGCATGTGGGTGGAGCCAGAAGAGCAGGAGACATTAACAACCCAGGGCCACGGTGGGAGGGGACGGGGAGTGGGAGGCCTTGGGAGCTGCAGAAAGTTTGACAGGGACAAATAAAATGAGATCGCAGAGAAGCAGAAAGACCTGCAGAGAGACACACAGCAAGAGAGAGAGGTTGGCAGACGGACAGACAGACAGACACACACACACACTCACTGAGCAACAGGTAGACAGACAGACAGACAGAAAGGTAGCTTGTCAGTCAGACACACGGAGGACAGACAGACAGATGTCTTCTTAGTTGACGAGTGAACAAGTGGCAGGTCCTGATTTTTTCACCAGCACTCATCTAGCTCCTGGGTCTCTGTTTCTGGCATTGACCTGTGCGCCCTGTGCAGCCAGAGTTTGCAGCAGGGAGGACCCGTCCCCAGTGGCCACCGACGCTTCCCTTCAGGGTGGCAGTGACAGCTGCTGAAGTGGCAGCAGAAATCTCTCCTGGAATAGACTCGGGGAGCGGGGGACTGGTGTCTCCCCGGGGGCCCTTTCCTGAGCTTTCCAGGTGGTGTGGGCTCTTATAAAGGCACGGCGGGACTTCTCTTGATGTCCTGTCTCGGTTACCGTATGGAGCGGCTGCGAGCAGAGTGGAGTGGGGGCTGGTGGGGAAGCAGCGAACTTCCAGCCATCTGCAAGGACGCTCGGTCT